ATTATTATTATTATTATTATTATTTTCCCTTCCTTTTCTGTACTATTTAACTGTCTTTATCTTAACTCATGAATTTTACTTTTGGGGTTTCCACCACCCCCAATTCTCTCCCCCATCCCACTGGGGAGGGGGCGAGTAAGCAAACGGCTGTGTGGTGTTTAGGTGCCTGCTGGGTTAAACCACAACAGCCCTTTACCAGGTGATAACTAGACTCATGAATGCATTAGAGACACTAGCTGATCTGAAATAGATGGAGAAAACAGTGAACTCACAGAAAATTATACATTCCATTATTAACCTGACTTTAATAACTTGAAGCACAGCTACCACTGAGTATGCTTATAACCTGGTAGGTAACATCAGTTATACAGCACAATCACACACAGACATTTTTATAGTCCAGTCTTTATAGACTGTAAACATCAGGTAAAGCAGAGTTTGCCACATCCGTAAAGAAACTTGTCATGACACCCAGGTCCTTCTTTAGTTTAGGAAAATAGTGGTATTCACAGTTTTTTTATAACCACTGGGCATGGCTGGACCTCAGATTATAATGACCTTTTCTACAGGAGGTAGGGGAATACTGTTTGTGTCACCATATCTTTTTTTTTTTTTTTTGTCCATTCAGTGATTTCAAGGAATTAATACAGACTGGTTATGTGACATGGACAGCATAAAGCTCATAGTGAACTCATACAAACTCATTTTTTCAACAAAGGACAAACAGAGCAGATGTTATGTGCTTTTGAAGTTAATCTCTAGCCATAATGAGTTTAACAGTCTGGTTTTTCACAGAGGACTAGAAAGTGAAGCAGGCAATTCAGCACAGATAAAAACTGCACCTAATTTTCCAGTGAGCATTTTGGTTTTTTTTTTTAAACAACGTAGACTAATGAAATGATTCCTTGGATTTAAACCTCTATCAGCTTTACAACAGCTCTAGATTTCCACAGATCTCCATGGATGTTATTATTGCATGTATTATACTTGGTATTTTCAAGTCCTGGCTACCAGAAACGTAGTGTTGAAAAGGATATGTTATAAAAAGTCCTGTCTCTCCCTTGCTGTGAATTCAGTCAAATCTGGACTTTATTTTCATCTTTTTGCTTCCTGTTCATTTGAAAGAATTGTGCAGTCCCAGGGTAGGGCTTTGTCATTGAGTAAAAATATTTAATTGAACAGAACAGAAAAAAGATTAATAGAAGGGAGATGTATTCAATAACCATCATTATACGGTAATTATAATTTTCACAGAGCAGTGAGAAATTAAACATTTGGCAGAGACGTCAAAATATTTTGAAGGTCCATCTGTACCAGTACACTAATATAGTGAACTGCACTTCTATTACACAGAAAATTACGCAAAATGCTCAGCCAAGTGCTATGAAGATGGCATGTAAATTGTGCAGAGGAAGATGTGGGACATGGTAAGATGCACTGAGCCCTGATTTGACTGAAAGTAACTGACTAATAGAGCTCTGAAATATCCCTAGCACAATTTGCAGGTCTAAAAGCACAGAAGAAAGAAAATAGTATACGTGTCAGCAATGGAAACAAAATATATTCTGTTTCTATAAGCAAGATCATTTGTCATAATTTGTATCACAGTAAGTATTATTCCTGCTATCAAGGGTATTTGTTACCTGTTCATCACAGTACAAGACTCAAACAGAGGAGTAGCTGTGTGGGTAAGTGGATGAAGGTTGCTTGAGGTGCTTTTTCAAAAAAAAGCTGAGACAAAGAATTTGAACTGAAAGACTCAAAATATAGGAGGGATAGAGAAATGTTGTACAGAAAGGAAATGTGACTTGAAATCTGATCATGCAAAATTACTGTAACAATCTCAAAATTACTTTTACCGAGTAAACAGCATGTTTTCTTAAAGGTGGACTTAGTATAGAATGTTGTAATGTATAAGATCACGTCTGCTAAGTCAACGTTATGTTATCAATAAGATGACAGGCAATTAAACAGAACTAAGCTAGGAAGCATTGAAAGCATAACTTCATGAAACACAGTGGTGAAAGACCTTTACTTAGAAGTACCAAAGAATAAGAACAAATATTTCATTTTCAGTCACAGCAGTCTGATGCTGATCACAGGACATGAGCAACATCTAGTCTTGTTATTGTTATTCATGTTGGCTATTACATGCTCACCACTGCATATACAGGTGCATTCTGAGAACACATTTATTGTTGAAAATCAATACAGCATAAGGATCTAAAAGAAAGTTCCTCAGAATAATTTCAGCTGGTGGATTTCTTGCTGTGTCTCTCTCCCATTCATGATGCAAAGCAATCCCACAGAATGAAATACCAAGCCTGCTAATAACGAGAAAGGCTTTAATATCCAGAGAAAAATTTCACTCCATACAGAACAAGGAAGCCTTATTAAGATCTGTGCAGGTAGCATAAACCTCCGTCTACATTTCAGGGAACCAGACTGCATCAAAACCAGTTTACAACTCCAGTTCATTCCAACACCTCTTGAAAAACCCAGATGGATCACCAAGCCATAAAACATCCTTAAAATCAGTGTCTTCACTTGTTCCATAAACAATCTTTCTTCCTTTTTCTAAGGAATATCCAGTGTTTTGTTATGAAATGGTAACAAACAGTGAGCTAAAAGCTCTATGCAAATCAGTGTCTCATGACAGATCAATCTCAGCTTGTAGGAAAAAGTTTATCTTAAAAGCATGCAAGCACTAGAGTACTGGGGCCCATGCTTAACTTCAGTAAGACTACTGGCAATCTTATAAGTTTCTGGGCTGAAAATATTTGCTGTTTGAAAATTAATCATGTTAGGAGAAGATTTCAAATTAATAGAGAGTTTGAATTACTGTACTTTTTCCACGTCTGAAGTCCATAGACTAGAAACCTTATCTGAGAAAGGTGAAACAACTTACGCTGCACTTAAGTGTACTTTCTCTAATTTAAAATACAAGACTCGCTGAACTGCAGATGCAGACATGTCTTGGGATCCAGTCTTAAATCTTCTGTCCTCTCCCTTAGTAACAAGATGTTTCCAGTCTGATCGCTAGAAAAGACCCTCCCTTGTAGTTATTGCAATACACTTATCTCTTGATTTGGTTATCAGTGCCTAGTGTTTACATGCAGAACAGCCATATTGGTGCTCACTAAAGGTCTGATTGATCTAATACCTTATCTCCAGCTGATAGCAGGTGCTTATGGAAGCAGTACAAGATTCAAGTCAGGTATAACGTGAACTTTCCCTTGGTTTATCTCCACCACATTCTGGCAATTGATTTAAAGACTGGATTTAAAGCTGGAAATTGCATCTGGATCATTGTGTTTTATAGGGATACATAGCCTATACTGAGAGGTTTTGTAAGCCTTTTTCAATAAGTTCCACAATTTAATTACATGGAGGTTGGTTTGTGATGTCACAGACTTGTTTTGTACTAAGATATGGTTAAAGCCTTTCTACTGTACAAAATGGACCTCTATTATACAGAAAACCCCCAGTAGAATTACATTTATTTTTTAGAAGACAGTCACTTGACTAATTTTGTTGTTATTAATCTTGTGAGTCTTAAAATAATTATTAAGGCCCAAATTCTGGACAAGGAAATAAAATCAGAATGTAAAAATAAAGCTGCCTTGTTGGAATAAGTAACATCAGCTCAGACATGGGCTTGCATCTATCTTGTGTTTCCACAAGACCTATCAGACTAAGGACCTGTTCCACCCTGGACTCTATAGAGGTCAATACAAGTATACTTATGCAATCATATATGTCTCTGTGCCATAACACAATGCTGGTGGGTATCTGGGGGAAATTATTGAATAACTGTCTTACCTCTATTCCTCAAATAAATTTTTCTGCACAGGAGATATTCTTTACCACCTTGATTTTTTAAATTTATTTTTAGTCTTTCAGAATGTGATAAAACTATTATTAGCTAAAAGTGGTACTGTAATAGGAGTTAAATTTTCTTCATAACAACAGACAGAATATTGCTTTTCTTTTATCTTTTTAATATTTTCCCAAAGACTTTAGAGATAATCATCAAGCTTTTGAAAAGATCCTAGTTTTCCCATGTACAATCTGAAATCCTTCGGCAAGCACATCTGACTTGCAGAAGACAAGCTATATGCAGATTTTAAATATAACTGACTCTCACACACTTTGTACAAAGCTATGTTTTCAGTGAACAGTGCTTCTAAGAAAAAGATGTTAGGGACACACTTTCAGGCTCTTAAGAAAATTTTCAACTGAATACAAAATGGTTTTCATTCTTCTAACAAATATCTTCCAATAAATATCCCCAAGTTTAGTAACCTATTGACACAGATAATGCATTTTTGCAATACCTTCAGATGCAAGAAGATGTATGCAATGTTTTATTCTGAAGCCTCCCATCCTGCAAAAACTGAAGCTCATGAGTAACTTCTATGCACATGAAGATTTACAATGAACACAGTGGGGTTCTACACTGGCAGGAGTGTGTTTGGGTTTAGGACCACTCTTCTGTCCCTCAGCATCCTTCATCGTATCACAATATGCTTCAGGCTCCTTATCTGTAGTTGGGAGGACCCCTGGGCA